AAAACGGGAAGGCAAGACTGGAGAAAAAAGGGTAAAAAGGAATGAACAAAGTCTCCAAGAAATGTGGGACTATGTGAAAAGACCTAATCTGCGTTTGATAGGCGTACCCGAATGCGACGAAGAGAATGAATCCAAGCTGGAAAATACTCTTCAGGATATTATCCAGGAAAACTTCCCCAACCTAGCAAGGCAGGCAAACATTCAAGTCCAGGAAATACAGAGAACACCACAAAGATATTCGTCAAGAAGAGCAACCCCAAGGCACATAATCGTCAGATTCACCAGGGTCGAAATGAAGGAGAAAATACTAAGGGCAGCCAGAGAGAAAGGTCGGGTTACCCATAAAGGGAAGCCCATCAGACTCACAGCAGATCTCTCAGCAGAAACCCTACAAGCCAGAAGAGAATGGGGGCCAATATTCAACATCCTTAAAGAAAAGAACTTTCAACCCAGAATCTCCTATCCAGCCAAACTAAGCTTCATAAGTGAAGGAAAAATAAAATCCTTTGGGAACATGCAAGTACTCAGAGATTTCATCACCACCAGGCCAGCTCTACAAGAGCTCCTGAAAGAGGCTCTACACTTATAAAGGAACAACAAGTACCAGCTCAACTAAAGGGCAAAACAGCCAGCTAGCACCAAAATGGCAGTATCAAATTCACACATAACAATATTAACCCTAAATGTAAATGGACTAAATGCCCCAATCAAAAGACACAGACTGGCAAATTGGATAAAAAGCCAAAACCCATCGGTGTGCTGTATCCAGGAAACCCATCTCACATGCAAGGATACACAAAGGCTCAAAATAAAGGGATGGAGGAAGATTTACCAAGCAAATGGAGAGCAAAAAAAAGCAGGAGTTGCAATTCTCATCTCTGATAAATTAGACTTTAAAGCAACAAAGATCATAAGAGACAAAGAGGGACATTACATAATGGTAAAAGGATCAATGCAACAAGAAGAGCTAACGATCCTAAATATATACGCACCCAATACAGGAGCACCCAGATACATAAGGCAAGTTCTTAATGACTTACAAAGAGACTTAGACTCCCACACAATAATAGTGGGAGACTTTAACACCCCATTGTCAACATTAGACAGATCAACCAGACAGAAAATTAACAAGGATATCCAGGACTTGAACTCAGACCTGGACCAAGCAAACCTAATAGACATTTACAGAACTCTCCACCCCAAATCCACAGAATATACATTCTTCTCAGCACCACATCACACCTACTCTAAAATTGACCACATAATTGGGAGTAAATCACTCCTCAGCAAATGCAAAAGAACGGAAATCGTAACAAACAGTCTCTCAGACCACAGTGCAATCAAGTTAGAACTCAGAATTCAAAAACTAACTCAAAACCACACAGCTTCATGGAAACTGAACAACTTGCTCTTGAATGTTGACTGGATAAACAATGAAATGAAGGCAGAAATAAAGATGTTCTTCGAAACCAACGAGAATGAAGACACAACATACCAGAATCTCTGGGACACATTTAAAGCAGTCTCTAGAGGAAAATATATAGCAATAAGTGCCCACATGAGAAGCAAGGAGAGATCAAAAATTGACACCCTATCGTCAAAACTGAAAGAGCTAGAGGAGCAAGATCAAAAAAACTCAAAGTCTAGCAGAAGACAAGAAATAGCTAAGATCAGAGCAGAACTGAAGGAGATAGAGACACAAAAAACCCTTCAAAACATCAATAAATCCAGGAGCTGCTTTTTTGAAAAGATCAACAAAATAGACAGACCACTAGCCAGATTAATAAAAAAGAAAAGAGAGAATAACCAAATTGATGCAATAAAAAACGATAAAGGGGATATCACCACAGATTCCACAGAAATTCAAACCATCATCAGAGATTATTACAAACAACTCTATGCACACAAACTAATAAACCTGGAAGAAATGGATAAATTCCTGGACACTTGCCTCCTGCCAAGCCTAAACCAGGAAGAAGCCGAAACCCTGAACAGACCCAAAACAAGGTCTGAAGTTGAGGCAGCAATTAAGAGCTTACCACCCAAAAAAAGCCCAGGTCCAGATGGGTTCACAGCTGAATTCTACCAGACATACAAAGAGGAGCTGGTACCATTTCTTCTGAAACTATTCCAAACAATACAAAAAGAGGGAATTCTTCCCAAATCATTTTATGAGACCAACATCATCCTGATTCCAAAACCCGGCAGAGACTCAACAAGAAAAGAAAACTTCAGGCCAATATCCATGATGAACATAGATGCAAAAATCTTCAATAAAATACTGATAAGCCGATTGCAACAGCACATCAAAAAGCTTATCCACCATGATCAAGTAGGCTTCATCCCAGGGATGCAAGGCTGGTTCAACATACGCAAGTCTATAAACGTAATTCACCACATAAACAGAACTAAAGACAAAAACCACATGATTATCTCAATTGATGCAGAGAAGGCCTTTGACAAAATTCAACAGCCCTTTATGCTAAAAACACTCAATAAGCTAGGTATCAATGGAACGTATCTCAAAATAATAAAAGCTACTTATGACAAACCAACAGCCAATATCATACTGAATGGCCAAAAACTGGAAGCATTCCCCTTGAAATGTGGCACCAGACAAGGATGCCCGCTCTCACCACTGCTATTCAATATAGTATTAGAAGTTCTAGCCAGAGCAATCAGGCAAGAAAAAGAAATAAAGGGCATTCAAATAGGAAAGGAGGAAGTCAAATTGTCTCTATTTGCAGACGACATGATTGTATATCTAGAAGACCCCATCGTCTCAGCCCCAAACCTCCTGAAACTGATAAGCAAGTTCAGCAAAGTCTCAGGATACAAAATCAATGTACAAAAATCACATGCATTCCTATACACCAGTAACAGACTTAAAGAGAGCCAAATCAAGAACAAACTTCCATTCACAATTGCCACAAAGAGAATAAAATACCTAGGAATACAACTAACAAGGAATGTAAAGGACCTCTTCAAGGAGAACTACAAGCCACTGCTCAACGAAATAAGAGATGACACAAACAGATGGAGAAACATCCCATGTTCATGGTTAGGAAGAATCAATATCGTGAAAATGGCCATACTGCCCAAAGTAATTTACAGATTCAATGCTATCCCCATCAAGCTACCAATGACTTTCTTTGCAGAACTGGAAAAAACCACCTTAAACTTCATATGGAACCAAAAGAGAGCCCGCATAGCCAAGTCAATTCTAAGCAAAAAGAACAAAGCGGGGGGCATCACAATACCAGACTTCAAACTATACTACAAGGCTACGGTAATCAAAACAGAATGGTACTGGTACCAAAACAGAGATATAGACCAATGGAACAGAACAGAGGTCTCGGAGGCAACACAACCTTTCTACAACCATCTGATCTTTGACAAACCAAACAAAAACAAGCAATGGGGAAAGGATTCCCTGTTCAATAAATGGTGTTGGGAAAGCTGGCTAGCCATGTGCAGAAAGCAGAAACTGGACCCCTTCCTGACACCTTACACTAAAATTAACTCCAGATGGATTAAAGACTTAAACATAAGACCTAACACTATAAAAACCCTAGAAGAAAATCTAGGCAAAACCATTCAGGACGTAGGTGTAGGCAAGGACTTCATGACCAAAACACCAAAAGCATTGACAACAAAAGCCAAAATAGACAAATGGGACCTAATCAAACTCCACAGCTTCTGCACAGCAAAAGAAACAATCATTAGAGTGAATCGGCAACCAACAGATTGGGAAAAAATTTTTGCAGTTTACCCATCTGACAAAGGGCTGATATCCAAAATTTACAAAGAACTAAAGCAGATTTACAAGAAAAAAAACTAACAAGCCCATTCAAAAGTGGGCAAAGGATATGAACAGACACTTCTCAGAAGAAGACATACGTGAGGCCAACAAACATATGAAAAAATGCTCATCATCACTGGTCATCAGAGAAATGCAAATCAAAACTACATTGAGATACCATCTCACGGCGGTTAGAATGGCGATCATTAAAAAATCTGGAGACAACAGATGCTGGAGAGGATGTGGAGAAATAGGAACACTTTTGCACTGTTGGTGGGAGTGTAAATTAGTTCAACCATTGTGGAAGACAGTGTGGCGATTCCTCAAGGACCTAGAAATAGAAATTCCATTTGACCCAGCAATCCCATTACTGGGTATATATCCAAAGGATTACAAATCGTTCTACTATAACGACACGTGTACACGAATATTCATTGCAGCACTGTTCACAATAGCAAAGACCTGGAACCAACCCAAATGCCCTTCGACGATAGACTGGATAGGGAAAATGTGGCACATATACACCATGGAATATTATGCAGCCATCAAAAACGATGAGTTTGGGTCCTTTGTAGGGACATGGATGAACCTGGAAACCATCATTCTCAGCAAACTGACAGAAGAGCAGAAGATCAAACACCGCATGTTCTCACTCATAGGCGGGTGTTGAACAATGAGAACACATGGACACAGGGAGGGGAGCACTACACACTGGGGTCAGTTGGGGGGAAATAGGGGAGGGATGGCGGGGGGTGGGAAGCTGGGGAGAGATAGCAAGGGGAGAAATGCCAGATGTAGGTGATGGGGAGGAAGACAGCGAATCACACTGCCACGTGTGTTCCTATGCAACAATTTTGCATGTTCTTCACATGTACCCCAAAACCTAAAATGCAATAAAATAAATAAATGGGAAAAAAAAAAAAAAAAAAGCCTTGAGCTTCCTAGGAAAGAAACACTTCAATACTAAGTATTTCTGGCACCAACACCCCTTATAAGAAACATGAAAAGAGAAAGTGTTTTATGAAGAAAAATAAATATGATTCAGGATAAACTTAAAGCAAATGTCGTCAGGCCCAGGACCCAGAACCCAAAAAGTTGGTCAATGTTGTTTTTCGTTTGTTTTTTTCTTTTTTATCCTCCTATGGTACATTCTATGTTTATTTTCCTAAAAACAAATAAGAAAACTTCTTGTACTTACCCAGAGTATTAGTAGCGAAGTTTTTTTCAAGTCCATCTTCTGTGAGTTCTCTTTTATTGATCATGCAACCTGCATTATTGATCTAAAAATTATAGTTCCCATTTAAAAATAAAGAAAAATAGGGCCAAAAGACCATTTCCATCCCCACACCTCCACTACCCCACCACCAGCTGTTTCTCAACATTCAAGTGACAATGACAATTTGCTCAACTCATTCTTCATTCCAAACCCCTTACAGGAGAATACCACTTGCGCAGAGGACTCAGCCACAGAACTATGCAAAGATCGCTGAGTGAGAGGGCTTGGCCAGGCAACCTAATTCATGAGAGAGTGCTCTGGAAATTCATCTAGTCCACAACTGTCCAATCGAAGTGTCTAATCTTTCCTAGCAGCCACATTAAAAAGGTATCAAGAAACAGGTAAAACTAATTTAATATATTTAACAAAATATATCCAAAATAGCATCATTTTAACATGTAATCCATACAGAATATTAATGAGACGGAATACATAGTTTTTTTAAGGCTTTGAAACCTGCTAGTTTTTACACTTACAGCACATCTCAGTTTGGACTAGCAACATTTCAGATGCTTCACAGCTACACTGGAGAGCACAATTCCAGACTCTGGGACAACATTTTAGAGCACATCAGAGACTCTGGATAGAAAAGCAACTTAGCTCAAAGCAGAGCATCTGGGAAGAGCACACTGGCACCTTTCTATCTGAGTCCACCCAGGGTCCCCGTGGAGTTTTGTGGTAATTATGTTACTAAACGATTTGCATGCCGGCAGTCGGTATTCTTTTGGACTAAAAGAGCTTCTAATTTCAATACACCAATCCCCAAATCTACAGAACCAAGAAATATTTATATACAAATCATTTCATTAAAAAACGGAACGTATCTATCCTCCCACAATACCTACCCAGAGGATGTCCCCTTCCTTTCCCCACTAATCTAACTACATGGGTCTCCTCTCAAATCCAAAGAGTAAATCTGATTACATGAACAGGCCTAAGCACAAGAGAGTCTTACTAAGATTCTTCCATAAAGACACGCAAACATACATATTCGTCCACATCCACACAGACTAAAAAAATATGCCAACAGAAGTTTATTCTCCACGTATGTTTACAAAGCTCACCAGAACATTGAGTTTATGTTCCTGCTTGAATTTTTCAACAAATTTCCAGATTTGCTTGGGATCAGACAAGTCCACAATGTGCAGAAAAATATTCTAAATTGGAAAGCAAAAAAAAAAATAAACCCTTTTTAAAAAGATATGAACTAGCACTTTTACTTTAAAAAGTACATGGTTTTTAAAAAGCAAATACTTTGAAATGATATAAAACAGAAAATACCAGTCCCACTCCTCAAAAATAAACCATTGTTCACAGTTTTTTTATGAATCATCCAGAAATATTTTAAGCATACACTATATATACAATATATATATTTTAAGATGAATATATATACATACATACACACACACACACAAATAGGATCAGACTATGCATTGTTCTACATCTATCTCTTTCACGTAATATGTCTTTTAGTTTATGGCGGTAAAAACACATTTTACTTTTTTTTCTTTTTCCAAGATGGAGTCTTGCTCTGTCACCCAGGCTAGAGTGCAACATGATCTCGGCTCACCGCAATCTCTGCCTCCATGCTTTCAAGAGATTCTCCTGCCTCAGCCTCCCAAGTAGTACAGGCACACGCCACCACGCCCAACTAATTTTTTGTATTTTTAGTACAGATGAGGTTTCACCATGTTGGCCATGCTTCTGTCGAACTCCTGACCTCGTGATCCACCTGCCTCGGTCTCCCAAAGTGCTGGGATTACAGGTGTGAGCCACTGTGCCCTGCCTACTTTTTAAATTTTATTATGATAAGAATACTTAATATGAGATCTAACCTCTTAACAAAATTTCTCGCATGCCAACTAGGTAGATGTTGCACAGCACACCTCTTGCCTAACTGACACCTTTGTGCCCTCTGATAGTGACTCCACATTTTCCCTTTGCCCCAGCCCCTAGAACCACCATTCCGCTCTTTGGTTCTATGAATTTGGAGTACTACAGTTTCCTCACATAAGTGAAGTCAGACAGCCTCTGTCTTTCTGTGCCTGGCTTATTTAACTTAGGTTGGGTCCTCCAGATTCATCCATGTCATTGCAGGATTTCTCTCCTTTTAAGGCTGAACGATATTCCAATGTGTGTATGTCTGGTACCACATTTTCTTTAACCATTCATCTGTCAATGGCCATTTACATTGTTTCCACATCTTGGCTACTGTGAATGCTGCAATGGGTGTGGCAGTGCTAATGGCTCTTCAGGATCCTGCTTTCAATTCCCTTGGATAAGTACACAGAAAAGCAATTGCTGGGTCAGATGGTAGCTCTAGTTTCAATTTTGTGAGGAACCTCCATACTGTTTTCCATAGTGGCTGCACCAGTTTGCATTCCTACAAGCGGTGTACAAGGGTTCCAATTTCTCCACAACCTCACAAACACTTTTTGTCTTTTGTTTTTCTATCAATAGCCATCCTGAGAGGTGTGAGGTGACATTTCACGCTGGTTTTGATTTGCATTTCCCTGATGACTACTGACATTGAGTATTTTTTCATGTATGTGTTGGCCATTTATTGCTTTGTTCCTTGAGGTGGATTCTCACTCTGTTGCCCAGGCTGGAGTGCAGTGGCATGATTTTGGCTCACTGCAACCTCTCTGCCTCCCAGGTTCAAACGATTCTCCTGCCTCAGCCTCCCGAGCAGCTGGGACTAGAGGTGTGTGCCACCATGCTCGGCTAATTTTTATGTTTTTAGGACAAACAGGGTTGCACCATGTTGGCCAGGCTAATTTCAACTCCTGACCTCAAGTGATCTGCCTGCCTCGGTCTCCCAAAGTGCTCGGATTACAGGCGTGAGCCACCTTGCCCAGCTCGTGTTAGCCATTTGTATATCTTCTTTGGAGAAATGTCTATTCGAGTCCTTAGACCATTTTCAAATCTGGTTATTAGTTATGTTGTTGTTTGTTTTGCTACTGAGTTGCAGGACTTACAAAAGGTCTTGGAGATAATTTTGTTACACATGAATCTACTCTATTCCTTTTAATGACTACTTAACATACCTTTACATGGATATGTCAGTTTCCTGCTGCCGATCATTTTTCGTCAGAACTTTGCTCTTAAGACAGTATCTTAGGCACATCATAAATAAAATGACAACTTCTGCTGTGACCCTTAGTCCTTGCTCATGACGCTTTTCAATCTCTGCCTTGTATCATGGTTATCACTAGACACAGCCACCTCCCCAGGAGACTCAGAACTCCGTAAGGGACCCCGTCTAATGCGCCCTTTCTTCGTATGGTATTACACACAGTCATATGCATGGTATTTGATCAACGGACCCTGGCTGTCTAAACCTTTTTCTCTGTACCCAGTACCTAAGTCCAAACTTGCACTGTTAGCATCCAGTGAATGCAATGGCATCCTCTCTGAGTATCAGTGGACATACGTGACTTATTACTAACCCAAGGCAGAGATTCCTGCTGCTGCAGGCACCCAAGTACTGAACCTACAGACAAGGATCTGAGCAAGAGCAATAGCTCCTCAGTTTCCCCACTAATCGAGCTATAAAACCCAAAGCTGTAGTCAGAATTTCTTTCTACTGGTCTTCAAACATTTTGTTTTCTCACCTGAGACAAATGAGAAAACAGAAGCAACTCCACATTTTCATGACTCAGAAAGTCTGGTCAGGTTGAACACCATATTTGGCTTAAGCCCAGCCCAACTGACTATTCCTCTGCCTTCAAAGGACAGGAAAAATGTTGTCCATATAGAACTATTTTATTCTCTTTTAAAATGTCTGTGAAGGCCCTTACCCAGCCAGAGTGAACAAGGCTGCTGAGTCATACCTGAGTCAGCCGGGAGCCTGTACCAATGACTGCAAACGGAGTCTAGACACCTAATCCTACCATGTTGAGGCCTTCCCTGCAACCACCCTAAACTCCCTCCTACCAAAAAGTGCTGTGTAACATGCATACAAAATCCAGGTTTAAACAGCAACAAAATTCAAGTGAACTAAAACCAATTCTGCTTTAAACATTCCATAAGTTCTCTGAGCTTCCTGGAAGTGCCTGAGATGTCTCAGTGAAAAGGAGATAGCAGCAGGGAAGAGAGAATCGCACTGTCCTACACAAATCAGCCATGGAGCTGGTGACATGAAGCACCATGAAAAGAGGAAGGAAACCATCTGTGTTCCTCTGAGACGAAACAGGAGGCCACAAAGCACACAGAGGGCGAGGCCAGCAGTCTGCTGTGGCCAGGAGAAGGAACTGGGAACAAGTGAATGTGTGTAAGTCCCAATTTGCAGAGCCACACAGTGAGAAGGCTCACCCTAGGAGCCACTGGGCCCCAACTGTGATACAAGTGTGGTTACTGAAATTGAACAAAATAAAACTCAACTGGGATCCTCTCTGCAGACGAGCCACCATCTACAGTGGCTGTGTGACCCAGGAGTCATGAGGTGACATCACGGGGACTGACCTGCTGTCAGAGCAGTTCCCACAACGAACACGGTAAACCGTGCATGGAGGTGCTTTGTTAAGTAGAAATCATTCTGGGGGAAACGCAGATTTCATAAAAACACTGAGGTCTTAGAAAGCCAAACCAGTCATTCTCAAGAAACTAGAAATCCACACTGGCCTGGAGGAGCTGGAGAGTAGAAACCCGTTTTTCATCACGGCGTGTTATGTTGGTGGAGTCAATCCCCCACAAGACCTAAGCACTTTCACAGAAACTTCCAGCCACATCAGGAGGCCTACAGGACTGAAAACGTCGCCCAGGCACCTGTACCTCTGTGATCTTTCCCTCTAAAACCCATGACTCCAGTGTAATCATGAGAAAGACATCAGACAAATCCCAAATGAGGGGCATTCTACAAATACCTGGCCAGTACTCTCAAAACTGCCGTCATTAAAAACTGGGAAGTGTGAGAAACTGTCACGGCCAAGAGGAGCCTAAAGAGACATGTAATGTCCTGTGGGATCAGGAAATAAAAACAGAAAATTAGGGAGAAAACGCAGGAAATCTCAAAGTATGAAGTCAACTTATTTTAATATTGCATAAATATTGGTTTAGTAGTTGTGGCAAATCAACCACACTAACGCAGGATGTTAACAAAAGAAGAAACTGGTTGGGGACAAATGGGAATCTCTGTACTGTTTTCACAAGTTTTCTGTGCATCTAAAACTATTCTAAAATAAAAAGGTTGGCAAAGTGTGGCAGCTCACACTTATAATCCCAGCACTTTGGGAGGCTGAGGTGGAGGGACTCTTTGAACGCAGGAGTTCAAGACCAGCCTGGGTAACATAGTGATACCTCATCTCCACAAAAAAATAAAGTAAAACCAGCTGGGTGTGGTGGCATGTGCCTACAGTCCTACCTATTTGGGAGGCCGAGGCAGGACAAGCTTTGAGTCCAGAAGTTTGAGGCTACAGCAAGCTATGAACACACCACTGCACTCCAGCCTGGGCAACAGAATGAGAGCCTATTTAAAAAAATAATAAAATAGAACTGTTTTTTTTTTAATGTTGCCCATGGGGGTAACTGCTAGACAAAACTCTGGAGCCAGGAAGTAAGGTGGGGCTGAACTGCGACCAGAAGCCTGGGGAGAAACGTCCACGCTGTTTCTCCCCCAGGCCCTTTGGGAGGATCGTGTTCAGTGGACTGGTGAGCCGGGAGCCTGCTCTACAGTAACCAGCACTCCTTCCCCCAAGCTTAGGCCATATATAACCTCTCTGCAAAGATCACCTCGGCATGATATTCACCTCTCTATAAGACCAAACGCCTGATCTTACCAAGTCAGCATGCACAAGCAGCTGAGATTCCCTCGTGACACTAAGTCTTACCCGGTGCCTGCACTCCCTGGCTCAGCTGGTCTGCTGTACACCTCACCCAGACCCTCCTGCCTGAGGGATCCTCTTTGATGTTCACCCAACCATGCAGGCAGGACCAGCTGCTCCAGGGCCCTCACTGCTCTAACACATATCTCTTCTGCTTCTGGGGGCCTGAAGGCTTCCACCTCCCACTGAGCAAGGCCCAAGCACTGATTCAACAGAACAAACTTGAAGCAAGAAATGAAAGGTTGGGAGTGGTAATAATATTAGTATACACAATACTGATAATACCAACAATAATTATAGTAGCTGCTTCTATTGATTGAGAGCTGTTTATTCTGAGGACACTCTGAGCTTCCCATCTTGTAGCCCTTTGTTATTTCAGTAACGTCTAACAGACACCTCTTCCTCAACAGAGGGAATTGAATGCAGGGATTAATTTCCCAGGTGACTAAGGAAGATGAGAACTCAACCAGGATTGGTGAAGTAACCCAGAGTGTAGTAACAGCAGGAAACTACCACCAGCTCAAGGAACAAAGCGGGAATGCAGTGTGGCCTGAGCCCAGGACCCAGAAGGAAGAACCAGAGAGGAGATTCAGCCGTCACTAGGGAAGCCAATATCTCAATTCCCCACCTTCCTTCCACCTGCCAATCTTCCTGTAATTCCTGCCATTGGTCAAACCCAGCCAAAAGCTGTCTGGCTGTAGGAGTTGAAGAAACACATACCTTGGGGTTCATATAATTTGTCCCCCAACCCACTTGCACTGTGACACACAGCACAGTGGCCAGGCCCAGGGCAGGCACACACACTTCAAAGAAACTGCTTGTTAATCACTTTTATCCTGGATAAGACTGTCAGGGGCTGTGTCTGTCCCAATCACCTGCGTCTCCAGCTCCCAGCGTGCTGCTTGGCATATAGTTCACCCTTAAATACACATTAAAAACCAATAAAGTCAAGTTACCCCTGTTTTTCAATGAGGAAAGGAAGGTTCTGGGAAGCTAAGAACATTGCCCAAGCTCACAGGCCAGGAAGGGCAAAACCAAGACTCCTATCAGAGCCCAACTTCCTCCTGCATACCATGATTTTGTGCGGGGGCTGCCTACCAATGGTAGACCAGATGTGGCTGTGGTGTGGGGCCTCTTCATAAGCAGGGAGGGGCAGCTGATCCCTGGCAGAGCCTGGAGGACACACTGAGTCAGAGAAGCCACAGGCACTGGCATAGGCAGCCTTGGACCCTCATCCCGCACGCTCCCCCTCTGAGTGCTGGAGACCACTTATAAACCCAAGAGAGCAGTGACTGTCTGCATGTGCATTCAAATCCCATCAAGCGCATCTGCATGGAGGTGAGGGGGGCAGTAGGCAAGGGCCTGTTTCCTCCCCAGTCCAGGAACATGCTTGCTCCCCTTTTCAGCTCTACCCCTCCTAAAGATGGTGGCATTGGATATAAGCCTGGCTGGATATTACAAACAGATCCATACTATCATCGTTTTCCATTTAAATACACTTTTTAAAGCCTGTGGCCCACACCACAGCAGGCAGGAATCCAGGCAAACCTCCTCCTGCCAGCGGCCTGAAATTAGTATTCTTGTTGCATCCTGCAGCAGCACCACTGAAAGTTATCAGCAGGCAGCCAGCCAGCTTTCAATCTCGAGAACTGCAGCCCGCCGATCACCGCGGCACTTGCAGACATTAGAGGGAGATTTAGAGACCCTCACGCTCACCGCCAGCACGAAGCCTCTGGAAGGCACCTGATGGCATGAGACTGGGGATTTCCACGAGTAGGGGAAAGGAACAGACACTTGGTATGAAAATGTTATTTCAAAGTTGATGCAAAATATTCCATCCTAGATAGGGACATTCTTCTCTTTGGCCAAGGTCCATGCCTGAGTGGGGCTACTGTCTGTCCCTCCCCAGCTCCTCTTCCAGAAGCCCTCCAACTGTGGGGTCTCCTAGGGAAGAGATGGGAATGGAATGAGGATGTTCTTTAGTGACAGTGAGCGAGCAACTGTGGTGACTGAGGGTCCTTTCTCTCCACTTGGTGGCAGGGGTCAGGGTTTTCCATCCAAGGCCAGCCTCATGGCTGCACAGTGTATCACAGGAATACAATCTATACAGACGCACAGGTCCTGCAATCAGGCCTCAAGCTTGGTTTAAAGTTCTGCCTTTGTTGTGTTGAAATTCCTAAATAACTTTTACACAAGGGTCTTGCATTTTCATTTTGCACCGTGCCCCACAAGCCAATCCTGGTTCCAGCTCTCTCAGAAGAGAAAGGCCACAGAACGTGAGGCAGCTCTGAAAGCTTGTGTCAGAAAGTAGCTCTCATCAGGACCCAAATGCTGTCGGCAGTTTCTCTTTATTAAAAGGCACAGGGTCAATGCAGGGCTCCGCGGCACCCAGATGACCCTTGCTGCTGTCGCTGATGTGGGCTCCCTCCGGGGTGAGAAGCCTGGCACTATCCGGCACCCAGGTGACCCTTGCTGCTGTCGCTGATGTGGGCTCCCTCTGGGGTGAGAAGCCTGGCACTATCATTGTCTAGCATAACGGGCCCCTGCCTGCCGGCCTCTGCTGGTTTCACAGGCAGCCCAGAGCCGTGCAGTTGCGCCTGAGTGCCCCACTTATCCCCTGGGTCAAACCTAGCCATTCAAAAGCAAGGCCCAGCTCTCTGCTGGCTGAGACTGCTTCGAAAGCAGAAGCACAAACACAGGCCGTCGCCAACCCACGCCAACCCAGGGAACTCGGGCAGGAGTGCGGCCTCCTCACAGCTGACCATGGAGGCGAGGAAACCCGGCAGGAGGGGCGAGGAGCTGCTCACCTGGTTACCGCTCTCCCGGATGATCTCACTCCTGGCATCTTCTGCTCGGGCTTGATCTCGACAAACCAGGTGAACTGTGCCACCTGGTGGAATTCAGTGAAACCATCTGTGAGTTACAGCGAGAGCTACAGAAACCAGCCCTTCCAAATGAAAAATAAAGACATATGGGCTCACAAAAAGAATACCTGCAACTGACACCCTTCCGTTAAACCTAGATGGGTGGTTCCCACAGTTAGAGCAGCGAAGGCAATCGTGAGGGAGGTACTGGAACCTTCTTGCCTATCTACGCTGACAGTGCTTCTGGGATAACATCCCGATTTTTTAAGGGCCTGAACACATCAAGGATAAGAAACATTGATCCGGGTCGCATCTGTCTCCCTAGCATCCAGCATGGTAGCTGGCACGGAGATCTCAAACCTGGCTGCACTTTAGACTCACCTAGGGAGCTTTTAAAGATCCAGGTGATGGCCCAGGCCTGAGTATGTTTTACAGGCTCCCTGGTGATATGATGTTCAGGCAAAGTAGAGAACCACTGGCCTAGCATGTAGTAGAGACTCAAGTATAGACTGAATGATTAATCCATCAGCAGCCCTCATATTATCCCAGCAAATGCCACACCATCATCAATCAAGGTCAACTTAAAGCAGAACATCTTCGTCGTGGCAGCTAAGAAGGAATCATTATGGAGTCTGCTTTCTCTACTAAAAATCACCCACTTGATTGAATGGCGTGTTTCACCAGAAGCTACAGGCTGACCACACCACCAGCCCCTGTCCTCTCCCCTCCTCTCCACACTTCAGAGTCGTTCCCAGCTGCTAAGATGCACTTAATCCTCTCCCTGACTTGGCAGATAATTAAAGCTTCAAATGATATAATAGTCCCCTGAAAAATGCCTAACTTGGATTTAGAGAGAGGAAAAAAAGAAAACATCTTCAGCATCTTAAAAAGTGATAAATTCACAACCTAGTTCCCCACCTTCTGCTGGAACATCCATTTTTCCAGAAGAGCCTCTGGAGAGATGCAGGAAAATTTTCTAGCCACTGCAGAGCCAACTGGTGACCCAGGATAGTTGAGCTCGTGCAGGAAATTCTGGCATTCACCCATGAGGAAGACTTCTGCTGACTGAAGACTTTACAGGCACCTGCGGCGCCTCTTTATCATCAAGGTTAGGGGAGGGAAGCAGGAGGCTGCTCCAGCCCTGGAGGCTGGACACCAGCAAGGAGGAAGTTAGTTCAACATACTCCTCTCTCCAGGTATTTTGGGGACGTTGGTTCATAACTACCATCCACATCCAAATTGTGGTGGACTCTCAGGCTCCCCCTCCCCTGTCCCCACCCCCAGGGAGTCTCATTGGGAAGGCATGAGTTAGAGACCAGGTGTTCACGTTTTTTTAAATTAAATTCCACTGGGGATTCTGATGTTCAGGGTTTGCTTGAGCCCCTCACTGCTCTTAATCAGAAAACACTGGTACACGTGCGCAGAACCCGCGCTCTCCCGTGAATTAATTAAGTGTTGAGGAAAGGGCTCCTGTTGCTCTAGCCACCTCTAGCTCGAGGCTCAGAAAGCTGGCACCTGTGCCCAGAACCATGGGCTCACCATCCAGGACTTCCTGAGCTGCCTGTGACACAGGGTGCCCTCCTCAGTAGTGGACCGGCCACAGTCTGGCCGTGGGGCTCAGAGGACACGTGTTAGCAGCCGCTCACCTCGCTTGGCTATTTCAAGGGCAGTTGCTTTGCCAATGCCGCTGTTTCCTCCAGTAACCAAAAAGACTCTTCCAGGAACCTGGACCTCCAAGTCATTAGGGACAAAGTCCTTAGATGCAGATTCATAGCCACTCCTAGAAACAGCAGACCGGTGAGAAGACCAGCTGTAAGGAGTGAGGAACACAAACCCCTGCAGAAGAAAGCTGAATTCTAGGATGCGCATGATTGCTGTCTCTGCCTCTCCCAGAACATCATGAAACTCCTTTCTCATTGACCCTCCCTGGTCTCACGAATGCCACCATCTCAGGGCCTGCATTTCCTGGGCCATTATCTTCCCAAACTTTTGAAAATATTGGAGATTCCAACACTTTGGCATCCAAACTGTCTTCCTCTGACTGCCCCAATACTGGGGAGTGGCAAAAAGAAAAAAATCCTTTGACAGATGAATTGCTCTTCTCCCTTTTGTGAGGGGCAGGTTTCGGGAAGCTTAGGAGACCATTTGCATTGTGCTTATTGCATTGCAGGACAGATATCCTTCCTTGCCTACTTGGAGAAATGGAGAGATTTGCAAGTAGCGGATGAAGGAGGAAGGTGGAGTCATTTAAGCTCTGCACCCATCAGAGGAAGCCAAGGCTCCTTCAGGGACACAGGGTGTGCACTGCATAGCACTAGGGAGTGCCATCTGGATAATGATGGGAGATTTGTAACTGCATTATGATAACGTTCTGGCAGGTGACAGAAAAGCATATTGCAGAAGAGGTACGTTTTCTGATTTGCACGAAGGCATCATATTGGATTGATGCAACCATGAGTTCCTTAACTGTTTCTCTCTCTCATTCCTTTGGAGATACCGCTCTACCTTTACTCTCCTAGTATTTCCTGGCTATGAATTGGCTAAGGGCAGTGGCAGCAGAAGGGTGGGGTTGGCAGCAGGAGGCCCAGAGGGCAGACTCTGCCCACACACAGGCAGGCTGGGGTCTCACAGCTTGCATCTCTCCCCCAGAGCCAAGAGATTTTTCCCCAGCAGTGCAGAATGGGACTGTAATCTCAAGGCTCCATAGAGGCTGAGAGCACTCCCACAGGACCTATTGACAAATGGGTAGCCAACAGCTGGCCTCTTGCTCCATGCCCTGGTACAGCACAACTGCCAGTTACATGCCCTGGACACTCGGGGAAGAGGCCAAAAGATGTTTATGAGCTTGGGTTTTAGTTTGAAAGTCATTGCCACAGGGCAGGCATTGCCACTTGTTTCAGTAAACTCAGATGTTCTTAAGAGAACAAGAAAAATGTTCCTGTTTGCACCATCTGTAACTCACTGGAACATGCCAGGCAGCTTAGAGAACACCCTACTCATGGCCAGGTGTGGTGGCTCAAGTCTGTAATCCCAGCACTTTGGGAGGTCGAGGCAGGTGGATCATGAGGTCAAGAGATCGAGAACACCCTACCCATTGCTTCTGCTGTGGGTGGCAAGCAAGATTTCTTATTCCAAAGCCTTCCTGAAAGGTTGACTTGAAACTAAAAAATATTAATAACAAGGGCTTGAACAACCTGGGTTTGTCACAGCTTGGCCTCTTACTATCTGTGCAATCTTGTGTGTTGGCTTAACCTTTCTGGGCTCTTATCTCCTCATCCGCAGATAGGGAATAATAAGAGATACCTCTTGGGTAGCATTTATGACAGTACTTGGAACATATTAGGAGCTCAATAATTAGCAGTTGACATTATTATTATTATTATTGAGACAGAGTCTCTCTCTGTCACCTAGGCTGGAGTGCAGTGGCGCGATCTCAGCTCACTGCAACTTCTGCCTCCCAGGTTCGAGTGATTCTCCTGCCTCAGCCTCCTGAGTAGCTGGGATTACAAGCACCCGCCACCACACTCTGCTAATTTCTGTATTTTTAATAGAGACAGGGTTTCACCACGTTGGCCAGGCTGGTCTTGAACACCTGGCCTCAGGCGATCTGCCTGACTCGGCCTCCCAAAGTGTTGAGATTACAGGCATGAGCCACTGCACCTGGCCAACATTATTACTATTAATAATGACAGTACCTTCCATGTTCAAATTTGTGCTCATTTGGTCCCCAAGCCTTCAAATCAGTAGGGACTTTGAGCATTTTAAACTACAAACAAAGAGGAAACTGGAAGTTTTTCCCCCCTATACACACGTGAGCCCTGGAATCTCTGTGAAAGGCTTTTCCGGTAGGGGCAAGGGCCTGAGTCAATGAATAGGGGCTTAGCTAGGAGGAGGCATTGTGGGGAATGAGTGAGAACTTCCCAAATACAATAGAGCCAGAGAAAAAGCAGTCCACAGGGAACAGGCTTTCAGAGCCCTTCTCCAGGGGCAGGAAGCTGACAGGCTTTTCTCTGTGACACCCAGCCAGAGGGGACATTAGCCTCTGGGCTCCACACTGATCCGTATTAGAGACGAATGTTTGCTGAGCGTGGCTCCTCTGGGTTAAACCTCTTCCTCAAACTGCATGCTGGGACTGCCGCCAAGCGGGCAGCGCCGGCCTGGCCTGCAGGACATGCCCCTGCCCTCTGTCCTCTGCCGGGTATCTTGCCTTCCATACAAGAATTCGTCCTGGTCCAATCTGTTGTTAGTGGTAAGGCTTGTCTTTTATGTACTCTGCCCCTTATTGGGGAAGCATTTTATTTTCACAAACTCTAGATATCAGTCTCTATTCTTCAAACTCAGACAGATATGATTTTCCCTAGGTCACCAGAAGGTAGGAGATGAGGCCAAAGGCTGGGTGTTCCATTCTTCAACACCCAGCCTAGGGGCCAAAGGGCAGCGCCCAGACAAGCTGCATCAGCAGCACCTGGAAACCTGTTGGAGATGCCCTGCCGGCAGACTCAGCAGTGCTGGCTCCGCAGCCTGTGGTTTCATGTGCCTTGCAGGGGATTTTGATTCAAGCTGAGAGGACGTCCGTACTTACAGTTTCCTGAACCTGAGGGGACAGGGATGGGGAGGGGAAAGGTCACAGGTACCCATGTCTCCTGTCCCCTCAATTTACCCAAATATGGAATTTGCTTAGGATCCATCTATACTTGCCCAGGGTTTAGGAGTCTGTTTACAACTGCCCAGGGAATTATTAGGTTCAGCAAAGTTTAGGAAACAATGATTAGATCCTGCTGCCTAGGAGCCCAAAATAGGGAGGCTTTATAAAAATCCTTGTGCCAAGAGAAAGGCTGCAAACCCTAACTCGTCACTTTCACACTGAAGTCAAAATAATGTTGTTGTTTTTCTCTCCCAGTCACTAAATTCACAACAGCGGGAAAACCCACCTAAGTCTGCCAACGGCCTTCCCCTCCCCTCCCCCACAATTTGTGTTGGATTGGGCCCCTTGGCCTCACTTCTACCTTCCCTCCCTCAAGGTGGGGAAATCAGAGCGAAAGAGTCCTGGGAGAGATTTTTACAGCCTGCCTTCCCTGGGGCCCACCCCGGGTTGGAAACTGACTCAAGCTTTCATGCTGTGTCATGTGGAAAGATCCAGCAATGAATGGTCATTGCCAGAAGACACCCCTGTGAAAGAAAGAGGCGGACACTGTATTCTCCTAAAAGCAGTGGGACAGGGCACACGGCTACACTTTCCAAGCATTCTCCGCAGCAGGGGCTCCAGGGGCAGAGCTGAACTTTTCCCAAAATGATGTGGGGTGAAGAGAAGGGAGTTGCAACTCCTACCTCCTCTAGGAGTGCTGGCCAGGTTGCCGTGGGAACCGAAAAAGCCCCAGTGCAGGGAGAAGCCTCTGAGATGACAATCACCTGGGGGATTTGGAGGAAATGCCAATCCCGGCCCCTGTGCTGACCCACTGAATCAGAATCTCTAGGAATCTCAGAATCTCGCTAGCTCAGAAAACTGGTACGTTTAATCCTCCCGTGATTCTGATGAGCAGACAGGGTTGAGAACCACTGGTTAGCCTAATCAATTCTAAGATAAAACCTCCATCTCTCCTCTGTCACAGGAACCTGTTACCTCTAAAAACCACAATGAGGTGGAGAGCCAACTAGGGCACACTGAGCGTGGTCACGGGGCGGCGAAGCCACCATTCACCGTTACCCAGGAGCACACACTGGGTGCACAGCCGCCCTGGCTGGGGACCCAGGCTGGAAAGTGCCAGCTGGAGCCAGAGGACGCAGTCCAGGTGCCGCATCTTCTTAGAGGAAGAAGCTGCTACGACAGAGCCTTGGCTAGGAATTTAGATCCAGCCCTTTCTGACGCCGCCAGCAGCAGGGCGAAGGCACTGGCCGAAGCTCACCCCGCGGGGCGCCGAGGTGACGCCCAGGAGCCTCGGAGGCGCCAGGGCCGCCTGACGTCAGTGGGACGGGCCTGGGCGCGCCACAGTCCCGCCCCTCGGGCGCCAGTCTGGGTCGCGAGCGCGGAGAAGCTGCACGCTGGCGACCGCCCCACGCCCAGCCGCGGGCCGCTAGATGGCGGGCGCCCCAGTAGTTCGGGGCTCACTTAGTCCGTCAAGCGAGAGGGCTAAGGGGCCGCTGGCGCGTTCCCGCCAACCCCGCTCGCCCCCGCCGAGGCGGGCCACGTGACAGCCCGGGACAACATCCCCCCATCGCCCCCGCCGCGCCGCCTTACTTGGTGTACTCGCGCAGCCCCTTGACGAACCACACGGCGCTGCGGTACAGGGACATGCCGGGCGCGCCGCACGCCGAGCCCCGCCGCGCTCCCGGCGCCTCCGCCCTGGTCCCGCCCTCCCGAGAGTCGCCCGCCCTGACATCATCCGGGTTATGTAAGCCCCGCGGCTTCCGGGGCCTTGCTCCGCGGGGAAGGCGAAGGGTCTCAGAGCCGGCCGCTCGACTCCGCCCCAGCCTCAGAGGGTGGAGTGAGGCGGACGGGCCCTGATGCGGGCCGCAGTCGAGGTCCACAGTCTCCTCGTGGTTGAAATCGGGCGTCAGCAACGTTGAGAGAACACCTTCCCGCTGGGCATGGCCAGGAGGCGTGGGTGGCACTGCCACGCACCTCCTGGAATTCGGTTACCTAGAAAACCATGTAGAATAAAACTACGAGGCTTGTGATATTTAAAAGATTTCTGCGTAGATTTGGTGTTATCATAAGGGTTATTGCAATAACTGGCGTTCTCTAAGTTCCTACATGTATGGGGGGGGGTGCGGTGCCCTAGCACATACATCTCCCCTCCCCAGCAAGCACGGTCAGATTGGCCACACACAGGCAAGAGGCCGCGCTGGGGCTCCCACCCGAGAAGGAATTGTCTCCATGGCCCAGACTTTTGCCACTGGTTCTGCAACTTCCTGCACTGCCAGGGAAAGCCCCTTGATCTTTCCCAAATCCTCATCAGCCTTCCGCCCAACCCCAAATAACTGGTGTGGGTAAAAACGTGTGGTTGCTGCGTGAACCCAGATCTCAGACTAGTCATCCCCCCGATTCCAGCCCCGTTATGTAGAACCCAGACACCCCTGTCCACATCTAACCTCCAGCCCTAACGCCACATTAGAAATGGAGACCTACTGCTGCTCTCACTCCTAGTCACCCTGTTAAGTTCTATGCTGGTTTACTCAAGTCGCCCAGAGACTGAGCCCCTCTTACATAAGCGGAGCGGACACCGGCCTCTTTAATAGCCTCATTACCTAGGATACAGGATCATTGTCCACCCTCACCCCGCAGTAGGCAAGTTTTTACTTCAGAATAACTTTTGAAATAAATTTCCCCAGAACAGCTCACCCCTCTAAACAGTACTCTGAGGTTCCACTATGTTAGTGTTATTCCTGACAGAGTGATGAAAGGAAATTTAAACAAGTGGCGTTTTGTAAAACCACCCAGCCTGGTGTGACTGTCAATGCCTATCCGACTTGGCTGGGAAAATATTTTAGACCCCCAGGGCTACACAGTGTGATTTATACACTCCGCTTTGTGTCAGTGATGGAGAAGGTGTCAGTCTGCTCTGAATCCCTCTGACCACCTCAGGAAATACACTTTTGGCTCACAGAGAGGGGGTGAGAAATGGTTTTGAACTACAAAGTCTCTAGAGGGTGTCAGCGGCCCCTTGAAATAAAAGTCTGGCTGGAAACCCAGCTCTCCGCGTTAGCCAGCTGAACCTGAGCATACTGCACACACCCTCAGTCTTAGTTTTCAATGTGTAAAATGGGAATGATGCTCACCTCATGGGGTGGTTGTGATGAGGAAAGCATTCATTATAAAGAGCTTAGTTTCATATGAAGTGATCAGAAGCGTTCATTTCCTTCAAGTTTTCTTCTCAGTCCTTTCTCCGCTACACCAGCCATGCAGTGTACATTCAAGAAGTGTTCCATGAGGGCACGCAGCGTCCAGTGTTAGACTCACATCAAGTGTCCACGAGGTAGTGTATACATTACATACACTTCCAGAGGAGGTCTTAGGAAAAGCCAACCCCTGTCTCAAAATCAGCTTCCGCTCTCACTTGGATGCCAAGTAACACACACACAAAGAAACGAAGGGCAGTATGGAGTTCATAGGGGAATGTTCCGGTTTAACTGGAGTCAGCTGAGCTGCATTCTAGTCCAATTTCTGCCAGTTATTTTCTGTGTGACCTGTGTGATAAAATATATAGACGGCTTAAACTGTTCCAAGCATTGTGGATTATAGCACTAAATTCTCACACTGACCCATATGGTTACTCTTGCTATTATCCCCATCTTACAGATGAGCAAACAGAGAGGTTACATAGCTTGACTGAGGTCACAGTAAATACATGGTGGGGCCAGGCTTTGAGGCCAGGTAGTATGATTCCAGAGTCCATACCTTCCCCAGTGCATCATACGGAATGGGGGCAGGTCACAGGCTCTGGGCCTCAGTTTGTCTCATCTGAACAAAAAGGGGGCCAGACTGACACCCGGGACCCCTTTCAGCTCCAACTTTCTGTACATCTAATTAGAAAATTACATATGGATGTTAAATAAATTAGGCCCAGGGTGCTTTTAAGAGCAATGTCAAAGTGGGTAGGGTCGCTTCATTTCCCATGGGTGGAAAGCCACTAAAATATTTCTCCTGTGTTCCTGGTTCCAATTTGCCACTCAAAAAGCCAAACAAAGAAATCATCCTCTAGAGTTCCCTTCCAATTGATTTAGATCCCTGAGGCTAATTTTGACCAAATTGGAAAGAGAAGCAGGAGGTGTGGAAATCCATGGCTTCCTGCGCAACAGATACACATGATGAGAAGTCTGTATACACACACACACACACACACACACACACGTGTTCATATTGCCTTCCACTGAAGCTCATACCAGTTCCTCTAGCCAAGTTGTCATGGCAACACCAACTGCCAATGAGATCATGGAAGACAAGTTCATAATGGCAATGGTGCCTTAATATTTTACCTGGCAAAGCTACTTAGTTAATAAGATGAATAACCATAAATCATAAACTCATAGGAAGTCAGACACCATTCATGTACATGTTTAGTGGGGAAATAGGGGTGGGGAATGGACATGCCAGCGAAGGGAAAGGAACAAGAAAAAAGAGAGGATGAAGCAGAGAGCAGGGAAGAAGGTCTCTGATGCTGATCCTTATTTTTCAGTGTGGACCATGCACAGGTGCTGACCCAGCCGTGCATGGATTAAGGAACTGGGCTCTTCCTGATGACAAGCAGTTGTGGGGTGGGTCTAGGGCTCCCAGCCTCAATCACAAAAGGCTTACCAGAAGCCCAAAGGCGACTGCTTTCTGGCATTCACACTAGCAGAGGAGAGCAGCAGCCCAGGGAAGAGGTACAGTGGTAGACACCAACCCGCCCTCCCCCCAACTCCGCAGCTGACAGTCACCATGCGGAAAGGCCTTTCCGGCTGCCTCCCCGTGTCCCTCGGTGCCCATCATCCTTTACAGTTGGGCTTGCCCCAGGGCTGTCTGTTGCCCATCTGAACCAACTTCCTACTGAACAAGTCAATTTGATTTAGGGGTTTCCTTCCTTTCACAAGAAGCTAATCGCAGTGGGGGCCTCTGGCCAGAACTTTGGCAGTGGGGAGCTGAGGCGGGAGACAGACTCAGTTTTCATTGAATACCTTCTGTGCCATTGAATTTTGTACCATATGCATGAATCACTTGCTTAGATTTAAAACACACAGAAATCCCCCTTCTTTCCCCAGCCCTGTGCACCCTCCAAGGACTGCAGACATTGGCAGTGACATGGGCCCAAAGTGGGGCACTAGTGAAGCCAGGGAGGTCAGCCTCCATATAGCTGAGTTGATGGAGAAAGTGATTTTCCGCCAACGGGACTCGTGTTTGTTTTAAAAACTCGTGCAGCCTGCTTCCAGGGCTTTGGTTTTACCGCAAGCAGATTCTGTTCTGACTGCAAAAGCCATGGGCTTTCTCTAGTGGTGCCTGAGGCAGAAGCGTGAGAGCATGCAGGCTGCTTGGTGAGGTGGTTATAGTTCACGCTACGCACGCTCCCTGGACCACCTCATATCCACTGCCAGCCTCGGGAGAAGGGCCACCCACACAGGCAGGAGAGGGATGCAGAACTGGGATAGAGAGTCAAAGAGCCCATGTTCAGCTCTGACGCATCTTCAGAAAAGACACTTTACCTCTGCGAGCCTCAGTTTCCCTCTACAGAGGAGCGTAACTGTACAGTCCTCACAGCATTGTAATGAGCGCGAAATAAAGAAAATTTTCTCTTATTTAACAAATACTTATGCTCCACCTACTATGTGCCATGCACCGTTTTAATCTCCTTGCAAATAAAAGCAAGGCACCGAGAGTTTCAGTGGCACATCCAAGATTACGTGCATCTGGAAAGGGGCAGGGCCAGGATCCCAGCCTGATAGTCTGGGTCCAGATGCCACATACATTAACCCCTTCTCTATAAGGATGAGAGATGTGTCCCATGGTGGCGTCTCCTGGTTTCTTCTTTTAGTAACTTCTGTGGGACTGGGAACTTCCACTACTATCCCCTCTTCTTTTTTGGATAGTTGATTTGTTTTTGTGTGTGATGGGGTAGCTTATAATTCCCACAGTTTTTTCTACCAGGATTCCTCCCAATCCCAAACCCCCAAGCCAGGGGCACTGAGACTGAAGCTGGGTGCTGAGCACTGCGGTCACTAAAAGTGAGGTTTGGTTTGTAGCCTGGTCCTGTGTATGCATGGAATGACCAAAGGACCCCGTACTGGCCAGCTATTTAATACTGAGCCACTCCATCATTCTGTGGAGGCTTGGGAGGACTGAGGAATACATTACTTATTTTTATTTTTGACTATGGGAAAATACACGCAACATAAAATTTACCATTTTAACCATTTTTAAGTGTACAGTTCAATATTAACTACATTTGCATTGCCACGCAACGATCCATCTTCAGAACTTTTCCATCATACCAAGCTGAAACTCTGAACCCACTAAACAAGAACTCCTCATTCCCCCCTTCCCCAGCCCCTGGTAACCACCATTCTGCTTTCTGTCCCTATAAATGTGACTGCTCTAGGAACTCATCTATGTAGAAACACACTTTGCCTTTTTGTGACTGGCTTATTTCAGTTAGCATCATGTCCTCCAGGTTCACCCATATTGTAGCAAGTGTCAGAATGTCCTTCCTTTTCAGGGCTGAATAGTGTTCCATTGTGTGTATATACCACATTTTGTTTATCTATTCATCCATGGATGGATGCTTGGATTGCTTCAATTTCTTGGCTATTGTGAATACTACTACTATGAACATCAGTGTGCAAATACCTCTTTAAGATTGTGATGTTAGTTCTTTTGTGTGTATACCCAGAGGTGGAATTGCTGGGTTATATGGCAATTCTCTTTTTAATTTTTTGGGGGCCTGCCATACTCTTTCCCATAGCTGCTGTGCCCCATTCTGTTCCCACCAGCATTGCCAAGGGCTTCAACTCGCCTCACTCTCACCAACTTCTTGTCTTTGGAGTTCGTTCCTTTTTTTATTTAATAGCATCCATCCTGAGGGGTGTGAGATGGTAGGTACCTCATTGTGATATATTATTAATTTTTGTGTATCTTAAAATACATTTTATAATTTCTGCAATACTCAGGTGTTGCCTCCGTCTTGTATCTGTTGCCGAATATATCTCAGTTGTAGGTATTCACACAACCACGTACCATCGGAAGGATAGTTTGGTCCTTAAGTATGTGGCTTTGTTGATTTTTTTTTAATGGTTTCATTGATGATGACGGGATTTTGTTGACTGTCACACTCCTGGGGAACACAGAGGATGGCATCCACCCTAATCAACCTCTCCCCTCTCAGGAGCTCGATGCGTTGTCTCGTCCAGGTGAGTCTCCCTCAGATGCCTCACGCGCCTGATTCAAAGGCCTGCAATGAACTTCCCCACAAGCCCTGTTCAGCCAGGGGCCCACTTAAGTATGACAGGAGGAAAGGGAAACATTTCCTCAAACTGACCTCTCAGTTGTTCATTTGTCAAAATAACAGTTTCACATTACTGCTCTTCCCATTTTGATTCACAGAAATGACAGACCAGGCCAGTTAACAGAGGCTATGCCTCTTTAAATGGGCCCTATGAGTACGTATTAGTCATGTTTGAGGCAGAGCTCTGCATTGATAATGGAAAGAAATCCACGATCCAGGAAGCAGAAAAAAAGCAGCTTGCCGAACATGAATAGTCTGATACAATCTATGTAAAAAGTACATATATTTATGCTTAGCGATACATAGACATATTTCAAAAGGATACTACAGAATTAACACTGGGTACCTTTTTGGGGACTGGGAGTTGGGGTGGGGCTTCAAATCTTTTTTTTACCTCATACTCTTTGATAAGACTTAAATCTCTAGCCATAGCATGTATCACTTTTATAATAAAAATAAAGCTTTAAAATTGTCATTTTAGGAAAATAAAAAGGGCTGTAAAAGGGGATATGCTGGTAATTGATGTCATGCCTCCAGCTGTGGAGAAATAACCCTGGCTTAGGCCAGCTTCCCTGGAAGCAGAGTCTGAGATGAAGCTCTGGGATAAGGGATGTGTTGAGGGCGTGGTCTTGGGAGAAACGAACCAGGGTGAGGAAATAAGAAGCACGGGGAAAAGGGAAGCATTGGGAGAGGATGTGGCTTCCCACGAAGCCCCGCTTTCGCCTGACCACGCAAACAGCTCTGGAGCATAAATGACACAAGTTTGACCTGCCCTGAGACAAGGGAGTTGGGCTTTTCCTCCCTCTTCCCTGACTCAGCCCTTAGCTCTGGGTGTCAGTGGGGTGAACTGGGAGGGGGCGGAACTCTAGGCTCCTCTCAGCAGCTGGCTCCAGTCAACCAAGGCGGCCCCAGGAAAGGGTGCAGGTGTGCGCCATTAGCACCCTCACCTGCTGCAGGGGCCCGGAGGGGACACTGGGCTGAGAGATGGGATCCCAAGGGAACCTGGGCTTCAACCCCTTTCCACAGTGACTTGGGAATCGAACCCAAATGCTTCCTTATAAACAAATGTATAAACTGTAAACTGATGTAGGAAATGTTTTTCTTTTCTGTTTTCTTTTTGATGGCCCTGGAAAAGTACAGTCTACAGGACATTGTATTAAATAGCAGCTGAAATACTCAAATGAAGATATAAAGAGTAAACACATCGGTCTGGAAGAGTCCGCTCAGACGGCAAGAGCTCTGCAATGGTGGGAAAATCACTGAAGCTGAAGAGGAGGATGTGCCAGCCTGCTCTCAGGAAGCAGGCAGCGAGTGTTCTGGCTACTGATGGCGGTCGAGAAGACTTTTTAATTTTTTTTTAACTTCAT